ATGTTAGCAAGTTAAATATCATAGTGTATACCTCTAAGATTCCCATCCCTTGTGCCAAATATTACAAATATCAAGAATCACAGACCAACTCCACATTGAGGTTGTTCGAGACTTTTTCTTGTCACCCGGCCACTCTTTGTCATCAATAGTACCAAAAAATAAAAGCCTTTACTTTGACTATGAATGAAAGGGTTTTAACAAAAAGTGACAATGAAACATAAGGCATAAGCAATGACAAGAAACTCTCAACTTAAAAATGAATTTCAATGATCTAAAGCAGTAATCAAATATCGCTTGTGCGTGATATTACAAATATCAAGAATCATATCATAGTTCTAACCTCTAAATTGAGCTTGTCTGGAAGGCTTATTCAAAAAATAAGCTTATTATAAGCAAAAGTAAAGAAAGTTGCTACTACTATCACTTTACTACAAGTAAAACCATAGTTTACTCTTAAGAACCATCAGAGACCCGATGAAAGTCTAGGTCAAGTGGTTTTGAGTATCGATAAGGTATTCGAAAATGACAGAGACTATCTTCTTCGACACGCAAGCTGTCAAAAAAAATCTTGTCGGGATAAACAGTACAATACAACAATAAAAACAACCCCTTTTCGAGAGATCAAAGACAACAGATAGGTTTCCCGTTTTCTTATAATTGCCCAACTCGGCACTAAAAACACCAGGCTTAAGAATTTCGACGTGAATTGTTTCGTTTTTGTCATTCCGGCTCAAAAAATATTTCATCGTCTCAGGCATCTTCGACTGTAATGGCAGAAATAATGCCATAGTTAGTCCATCATATACAGAACATAAAACTATAAACTCTACTATATTCTACCAATAACATGGCCTAAAAATAACACCAGGTGAATTTATTCTATTACATGTCCAGAATTTAATTGGATACCGTGTAGAATTTGAAAAAATAAAACTAAAAAACAACTTAAAAAATTGAACCTGCTCATCCTCAGAATTGAACCTATAGACTGGTATATGTATATCAAGGTGCCGCCTGCTGGAGTAATCATGTAGAGATGACAGAAATAATCGGTAGAGCTTTTTAGAGCTTCTAACCCTTCGGGGGAGCCGTTGAGATTGTCCAGTGAAGCTCCGTTTGAATTTTTCATCTCAACCTTCAACTCGTGGACGAAATAGATTATGTCTGGCTTAATTCCTCTGACTTTTAGATAAATGAGATAATTCTTGTGCAGAGTTGCTATCATGTCACTGAAAACCAGAGCACCAAATTGCATATTACTATGACAGAATCGCAGATCTAATCTCCTGCCCACATTAGACAAGATAAAAACTTCAAATTGCTGACGTGGTAAGAAAACTTTACCTACGGTTCTCTACAACAATCATATATTCAGAGAACAAAGTTTTCTCTAACACATCGGTATTGGGGAGTTTTTATCCGATGGAGATCAATTATAGACAGAATCGATCATTGAGAGAAATCAATAATCATAATAAACAGGACAAGAAGCTTACTTATCTGTTCGACTGAAAGACGTCAAATAATTTTTAGTCAAGCGGTCCAAAGAGATCTTGTCATTATAGGCAGTACACCTGAACTTAAAAGACAACCCTTTCCCAATATCATATGTGACTTTAGCAACAGAAGGTATACTAAATTGTTTTATCTTTTCCGAGCACTGATTATAGTGAGTATAAATCTTGGATCTAGGAAAAAGGAAACTACGGACCTCTTCCTCGTTGTCTTCATCACGATCATCCTCAAAGAAAACTACATCAGGCACGGGCAACATTTAAGATTTCGTCTTTGAATTTATTAGTTAGTAGTGTTAAGACTTGGAGTCCATCTTAATAGGGTCAACCTTATTAAGAGAAGTAGCCCAAGATCTTTTTAAATTAGTTAATGTTTTGGTATTTAACCGATGTGAGATTTTTATCCCTTAACACGCCCTCGCAAGATGGTGGCTTATTTGAGCAGACCAATCTTGCAATCCATTGCTCATTAATTGAGACTTATAATCGGATCGAATCACTTGTTAGAGCTTAATGAGCTCTGATAGCATAAAGAGGATTTGCACTACTGAGATTTTGAGAATTTAATCCACACAAGTTTTCATTTCTGTACACACTAATTATATACAATCCGAGAGCATGAATTAAGGAGTACAAAAAAATGTAACCGAGTATTTACAGCCTAATATATTGACACAAGGAAATCTGTTGGCCTGATATAATGACAGAAGGAAATCTATTGCTGAAATTAAGCTTTGATCACATATGTTCAGCATTCTCCTTAATACGTCCCCGCAAGAATGGGCTACCATCAGTAAGGCCGATCTTGTTGTGCAGATATTCTGTTCGTTGACGCGAGAGAGGCTTGGTGAGTAAATTTGCAAGTTGATCATTGGTATGAACGTGCCGTACATGGAGTACATTCTTTTCAACCAAGTCTCACACAAAATGAATGTCAATTTGAATGTGTTTCATCCGAGAGTGCTGGACAGGATTAAAACTAAGGTGTGTGGCTCCTAAGTTGTCAAATAGAAGTAGAGGAGGCTTGAATAATGAAAATTTCAGTTCTTCGAACAGAGAGAGGATCCACATGGACTCAGCAGCCATTGTTGCTAAAGCTTTATACTCGGCCTCAGTTGAAGATTGTGCTATGGCACGTTGTTTTTTTGAGCTGCACGAAATTGGTGTTGTGCCAAATAGGATCAGATAGGCTGATGTGGATTTTCTGTCATCGAAGTTACCTGCCCAGTCGACATCAGAGTAGCATGTGAGGACTGGATTCACTGTTTTCTAATGTTGATGCCGTAAAAGATAGTATTTTTCAAGTGTCGCAGCAACATTTTTGTTGTTGTCCAGTGAGTTGTGGTTGGACAATGCATAAATTGTGAGAGTTTGTTGACTGCAAAGCTTATATCAGGTCTGGTCAGGGATAGATATTGCAGTACACCAATAACTCTTCGATATTCTGTTGAATCAACTAACGAAGAACCATCAACCAGCTTTAGGATAGCTGAAGGTGATAGTGGTGTTGTCACATCCCTGGCACCATCCATACTAGTTTTTGCAAGGAGATCACGGATGTATTTGTGCTGAGTTAGAAACAAACCATCTTTTGTAGGAATAACCTCAACACTAAGAAAGAAGTGAAATGGTCCCAAATCTTTGAGAGAAAATTGTTTTCCAAGTTGATCAATGATACTTGCTACAAATGTTGAGTTGTTCCCAGTGATAATCAAATCATCAACATATACCAAGCAGTAAACAAGTATAGAACCATCATGAAACACAAAGAGTGAGGAATCGGATTTAGCATTAACAAATCCAAACTCTACAAGTGCTTATTTGAGGGCCGTGTACCAAGCACAAGGTGCTTGTTTGAGACCGTATATTGCCTTTTGAAGGCAACATACATGATTTGGTTTGTCATGATCCTGAAAACCTGGTGGCTGTTTCATGTACACTTTTTCTGTGAGATGGCCATGAAGAAATGCATTATTTACGTCTAATTGCCTTAAGGACCAACCTTGCACCACAGCAAGAGTCAAAACAGTTCGGATTGTAACTAGTTTAACTATAGGGCTGAATGTTTCTTTGTAGTCTAGACCGGGCCTTTGATTAAACCTTTTTGCTACAAGTCTTGCCTTAAATCGATCAATTGAACCATCGGCATGCCTCTTAATCCTAAACACCCACTTACAGCCAATAATATTACAGTGTTGTAGTGGTGGAACTAGTTGCCATGTATCATGTCTCATGAGGGCAGTCAATTCAGAGGACATAGCATCACGCCATCGTGAGTCAGAGAGTGCTTTAGTGACACTTGTAGGTTTCAAGGGAGGAGGAATTGGGTGCTTGGTGACTAAAAATAATCTTTTTGGTTTGTAAATATTCTTCAAAGACCGGGTGGTCATGTGGTGAGTGCGCACTTCAGTGTTTGGAGGTATGACAGACTCATGCATTTCTAATTGAGAAGTTTGCTGTATAATCAAAGGAGAGTGAGAAGACTCTCTTACCTCAGGTGAGTTTGGCACAGAGGAGGACCCAATCACAAGCGATGGTGTAGACTTGGTACCCGCTGTAGGAGAACCTTGAGTTTGGAGAGGAGGAGTATTTAATTTCGACAAGGGTATTAGTGCTGGCTTAGAATCACACAAAGATGTAGATGTGTGTCTTGGTGTTTTTAGGTTCGATTTCTCAAAAGGAAATGTGTATTCATGAAATATCACATGCTGAGAATAATAGGTCCGTCGAGATTTGGGCTCAACACATATGTATGCGTTTTGAGAAAGTGAATACCCCATAAATGTGCACGCCTGGGCTTTTGGCTCAAGTTTGTGTTTATTGTAGGGCCGAGTCAAAGGATAACACAAGCAGCCAAATTGCTTACGCTTCATGTAATTTGGTGGTTGCTTAAACAATTTCTCGAATGGAGATTTATTTTGCAAGTTGGGAGTGGGCATTCTATTTATGAGATAGGCTGCAGTTTGGAATGCATATGGCCAATATGAAAGGGGCATATGAGCATCTGTAAGAAGGGTGAGTCCAGTTTCAACAAGATGGCGATGTCGTCTTTCAGATACGCCATTTTGTTGTGGAGTATGGGGGCAGTAGTGTAATGACTGATGCCATGAACGGACAAATAGGATTTTAGTCCAATGTATTCTCCTCCATTGTTTGAGTAAATAGTCTTTATTTTGGCATTAAATCTATGTTCCACAAGATTTCGAAATTGAGGAAAAATAGTTTGAACTCTTGATTTATGAGATATTGGATATAACCATATGTATTTGGTATAGTGGTCAACAAAAATAATGCAATATTTTGAACCATCAACACCAATTTCATGAGACGGACTCCAAACATCAGTATAAATTAATTCCAAGGGAGCTGTGCTAGTGAGACCATGAGAATTAAATGGTTGGCGATGAGCTTTATTTTGAGAACAAGCGGTACAAAGGGATGAATGACCAGTTTTATTTGTAGGTAAAGAAAAAGCATTAATTAAATGATGGACAATTTTGGAGGACGGATGACCAAGTCTTTTATACCATCCATCAGTGGTGGTACGTTCGAGAACATAGGCAACAACATTTTTCGAGTTCTTAGGGAGGTTCTCCAAAAATGGGTACACGCCATCTTCACATTCGCCTGAGTAGTATTGCCCCCGTGATCCAATCCTTCACCAAAAAATGAGAAGGGTGAAATTCGAGAAAAATATTATTATTCTTTGTAAAATGATGGATGGAAATAAGATTTTTTTAATAGTGGGAACACAAAGGGTATCATGTAAATGAAAGACACGATTAGGCGATGAAAATGATAAAGAACCGACATGAGATACATGCAAACCTGATCCCTCACCAATTACCACCTCATCAGTACCATCATATTCAGAATGAATGGACAAATTTGAGAGATCAGTTGTCATGTTGTGGGATGCCGCTGAGTTAACAAGCCACTTTTGATTTTTTCCTTGTGAGGAGGTTGCACTGTTGGCTATAGGTTCAACCGATTTCATCTTTGGGCAGGCCTTTGCCGTATGGCCCACTTGGTCACACCATTGGCATTTGGGCTTGTATTTGCGAAAACCCCAAAGTGGAAGGACCATTTTTGTTGTTGTTACTGCGGGCTTTGATAGAAGAGAATCGATGATTCTGCTTATTTGTTCCAAAGTACCCTGGTTGTCGATGACTGTAGCTTGCAGTTGCAAGCATGTTTGAAGCCGATTGAGTCTCCAATCAACGAAGGTAACTTTCATGACCTACCAAAAGGTCATGAATTTCTTTAAACTTCAGAGAAGTTTCACGAGCACGAATCGGGGCTGCAATTTCTAAAAACTCGGAACCCAGTCCATTGAGGATATACAAGGTTAAATCATCATCCGAAACTGGATGATCAATAATTACAAGTTTGCTTCAATTACTTTGATAGCTTGTAGAAACTCCGTGACGGAGCGATTGCCTCGAGCGCTCAAGGTAAGGTCCTCCTTGAGTTGCATAGCATGTGTTCGTCATTTTCCTTGATAAGTAGTAAAGTCTGCGGGTTGGAACGTTCTTCAATCGTAAAGTTGAAGTTCCTTGGAATCACCTCCCCATACTATGAAACAGATGAAATAAAAAATGCTAAAAATCACCTTCCCAAACTATATGCAACATAAAAATCAATGACGCTACCAAGCAGAAAGTTAAAATTGAACCTTCTTCTCATCCTCTTGCGACTCCATGCCTCGCATAAACAACTCTTCGAAGCTCGACTTGGTGGAGTAGTAATGGAGAGATGAAGGAAACAACCTGAGGAAGAGCTTCCCAGAAAGGCCGGAACGGTTGACGGAATGGGTTAAATGGTGACTGCAGAAGGTAGAATGGATGGCCAAAGGTACGACCCTTGAAGCTATTGGTGTTATAATCATGCCCCTTCAAATCAAGTCAAAAACCAGAAAAAATAAACTTTGGGTTCATGGAATTTCAAAAATAAAATATTTAATCATTCCCCAATGGTGGACAGAAGATAAACTTACCGAATTCCAGTCATCATCTTTGAGAAACTGTTGATAAATGATGAGCAAATATTAGAATAATCTTAGCGGACAAATATATATTAGTTACAGCGCCGAAATTGTTAAAGAATAGAAATTCAAAAGTGAAAAATCACCTTCCCCTACGCCAAATGCAGATCGAAGAAGAGTGGAAGAAATATTATTTTAGAGCCTATTTATGAGTGATTTTGAGAATTGATTTTTTGACCGTTAGGAAAAAAGTGGGATCTATCTATGACAGCTGGATTAGTGAAATAATGATAAAAAAAAATCAATTTTTTGAGTGAAAAAATCGCTCCCGAACAGACCTTTAATGTCTGTGGGCTAATGGGTTTCTAGGGCCAAAGTATAAATTGTGGCGATATTGTTTTAAAGATTTTGGCGGGCCAAATCCTGGCAATTATTTGTTCATTGTCTAACTTCAATTATTCTTTTACATTTAGGGCAAAGCTACCATTGATGCGTCTTCCCATGCAAAAAATCCACCTTTTTACTACTATCAAATTTTAGTGTGGAAGCCATATTTATACAATTTTAAATCATAGTCACGCTTCTCTCACAAAATGATTTAAAAAAAAAATTGTAGTAAATGCTTGTGGTATAGAAACAATAATCTACCAATTATTTTGATACGGATAGTCACGAAAGTTTTTGTTTTAGGATTTGTGAAAACAATGAAAAGGAAGATCATTGATTGATTTTTATTTTTCTAAGAAGTGATAAGATAAGAGAGAATAATCAACAATTATCAATTTTCAATCCTCAATCCTTATTTAGTCAATTTGAATCACATTATTATCTTAGCTAAATCCACATATTTATAATAATTAAAGGAAATAAACATTGATTTATGACTGATTTTCTATATGATAGTTATGATTTTTTTTAAAATAATTTTCATTTATTTATAATTTTCTGGTCCAAAGCATATTATATTTTAGACCATAAAAAACGAAAACAATTGCAAAATGGCGCAAGTGAAATGGTTCCAGCAGTTTTTCGGTTTAGTTGTGAGAAGATAGGATTGTGCATCAGAACTTCACAGACTATGGATGGTGGTTTTTGAGCAGATAAGCACGGTAAAGAATGAAATGGTGGCTCCTTTTTCTGTAGAGTGAAGGTTGGAAGGGTGGGAGAGGGAAGCTGCCTTCATTGGTTCTTTTGCATTTTATTCGGTTCTTGCAGATGACACCTAGTGGAGATTTGTGATGTACTCTTCGCGGTTTGTGCATGGTGGTGCTAATGATTTTGTTATGTCGATGAATGGTGGTGATCAGGGGAAGTCAGGGAGGATGAATTTAATTTTTTTTTTTTCATACTAGGCTAATACATTAAAAATATATATGTTCATAAAAAAAATTCCACTAAAGAATAGCTTGGGCCTTGGGCAAGCCTGGGCTTTGCCCCCTTCCATCCGTCCTTGGTGATGATGGTTCGTTGTGTTTGTGGCGGGCAGTGGCAGTGGAAGTGGAAGAAGCAACGATGGTCCGTTGGTGGTGACATAATAAATGCTACAAGTGATGAGTTGACAGTTGTAGTGTAATAATGAAAAAAAGGTTGAACCACAACCTTGTGGGTCCCCATCGTCCCGTTCTTAGAGTTTTGTGAGGGAGGTAAATCGCGGGATGTACCCCAACAAGCCAAGGAATAAGAATTGTCCGTATACTGCGTTTACAAGGAATCTAATTTCATGTCTTAGGAATTGAACCCCCACACTGCGACTGCTAGCAAAGAGTGAAATAACCTTCTTCCTGTTCTTTATACCATTGGGTTATGTCTTGGGGGGTGTTGTAGTGTAATAATGAATGGTATGGCGTACAACTAAATGTTACAAGTTATTGTGGTGATATCGATGGTCGCAATGATGATGGAAGTAAAAGAGAACATATTATGTTACAAGTGATGATGGTAGCGACAAAGGAAAAATGTGATGATGAGATGTGTGTAACATTACTTTACAAGACGTAAACATTTTGCTACGAAATTAACTGTAACAAATAAAAAAGACTAATAATATTATTCAAGAATAAGCCTTAGTTTGGGTCCCATTTTTATGTTAAAATGAATTTTGTAATAGTGTTTTTTAAGAATGTGTGGTTAAAAAGTAATAGAAAATTTTGAATTTTACGTGCAAATAATTTTATTGATAAAATGTGTGGTTAAAAATGAGTGAGAAAAAATGAATTATTGAATAATGAAAATTAAACAGGCACTAAATAAGAAAAGTAAGCATTTAATTATAAATTTTTTAAGGGGGTGTTTGATAGACATTTTTATGTAAAAATGCATTTTAGAATAGTAAATTGATGTGAAATATATAGTTGAAAAATAAGGAATTTTTTTTTATTTACATATTTTAATAAAAAATATGTGATTGAAAAGAAGAGAGGGAAAAATGTATTTTGAAGAAAATAACTACCAAACGGGGTCTAAGAATATTTTCGAATTGTTCCCAAAAGAAAATGGTAATTGTAACCAAAACGTGTAAAAACCTAGTTGATACAATCAAAACCCCTCAACTCAATAGCTTGATCATGTTAGGCTGAACTCTAGAGATTGGGCTCTCCATCTAACACCACCAAAAAAAAAAAAAAGGGAAAAAAAATTATTATTACTATTTTTTTTTTGAATTTCAAATATGAAATATGGTTGCTAGTACAAGATATGTCATCATAGTTAATAGTTCCAATTCTAAAATAGTACTTCCAAACCGGCCAAACAATGCCGAGTCTCCCCAATATCATCGCAACCAAACAAACCAAATTTCGATGAAAACCAAGATACGATCAAACAAACCGAAGAAATTGTCAATAAAATCACACGACTCTCCCCCATTTTACCTCACTCCTTTGTTCCTCCCTCCCTCGTGCACTCCGCCACCCTCTCTCTTTCTCTCTATTTCCATTTTCAGATCCATTTTCTAATGGCTTCCATTGCTACTTCCTCTGTTTTCTTCCCTGTTTCTAGCTCTTTGAAGCAAAACCAGGTTAGATTCATGTTGTATTTGTTGTTTAATTTATTTTTTCTGGTAAAATGTTGAATCTCTTTTAGTAGACTAAGGTTTATTATGAATCTTTATGTCTCTATCTTTAAACATAAATGTTTTTTGTTATTTAGTTGTTAATCATCTGATTTATATATCTTCCTGTTGAAAATCCATTTTTTTAAAGTGGGATTTTGATCTTCTGAATGTTCTTGATCTTCATTTTTAAGTCGAGATTTTTTAATAGATTATGAGTTAAAAATTACAATTGTTTTGTAATGGTTGACGAGTTTTTGTTCTATACTGTTGAGCTTGTGCTTTCGGGTTTCTAATGTTAATTATTAATTATATATTTTTGAGTGAGGAGTAAGTTTATATTTTAAGGATTGAAGCTCCTGTTCGTGGACATTTTGTCTAAGAAGTTCTTGTACGTTTATACTTGTTCCTATATACACAATTCTTAAGTTTTCGATGTTATTTTGTTCTTGACAATCGAATGTGCTAGCAACCTCGGAATTGTCATGTTTATGTCTTTTTCCTTATTTTTAGCTAAAGACTGTTAATGATACTACTATGAGTAATTTCATTCAACACTGTTTCTAAACCCAATTTAGTATTGATTTGTTATTACTCTCATGGTTTCACCAATCTTGTATTTTTCTTTTCCCTTTCAGGTCTCAAATTTGAAGATGGTTTCGCTTTCATTCACAGGGAAGAACTTCCCGTCTCTTAGGTTGCAGCCTCCACGTTTCCGCGTTGCCTGTGCGGTAATATATTCTCCAGCTTATTTTCAATCTCGCTTTTTTTATTTTTTATTGGATTTTTAAACAAGTTTTCGGTAGAACTAGGTTTGTTGCAAAATAGTAAAATTTAAATATAAGTGGCTGCATAATTTGGCATCCATCATTTGTATGGCACTTAAATTGTCTCCTCCATGTAAGAACCAAGTAGAGCGAAAATTTAGTTTTAGGGAATTCCAGTTCGAAGCATGCTTTGCTAAGCTGTAATGAGAAAAACAGTAAAAATATTCCAAAGACGTTTGGATTACTTACTTTTAATAAAGAAAGTTATTTTTTCTGAAATTAACTCTCACCTTAATGTCAAAATACGCAACTTACCTTACCCCATTATCTATTTTTGCCAGCAGACAGATTGTTTATTTTGAAATTCTTTTACTTGAATGCATTTGAGCTTAACCAAACATGTATTAGTCAAAATCAAAACTTTGATTGAACTTTTTTTAGCCTCATTAGTAGTAGTTGTCTCATTTTGCATTGCTCTAGGTTGTCGGAGAATCCATTCTTTAGTTCAAAACTGAAGTTCTCTCCTCACAATTCACTTCCTTGTAGCTTAAACGAGATTCCTTGTACCATTTTTTTTCTAGCCAAATTACTTATCTCAGGAATGATACTTCATTAGGTTTTCTTTAAGTCAATCGATCTGTTTTTCAATATTATATAAGTTACAATATTCAAGTCTATGTTTAGCACACAGTACTCAACATGATGTTGGACAAGATTTTAGCGTCTTTTTTATTCCTTAATATTTCTAGTATTATTCAGTCCAGCTTATCATGCATGCAACTGTCGAAAATGGTGGTTTTTATTGTTCATCGACCAATGTAACTTTTGAATGGTTATTTGAAGCATTAACAAATGAGAACCAAATGAGGTTACTGACAATTTTTTATGTTTCTTTTGAGCAGGCTAAACCAGAAACAGTGGAGAAAGTGTGTGAGATTGTGAGGAAGCAACTTGCTCTCCCTGCCGATTCTGCTGTCACTGGAGAGTCGAAGTTTGCATCACTTGGTGCCGATTCCCTTGACACGGTATTTTTCTCTGCTCACTAGCAACTCCTGTTTGTTGATCGCCTTTGTGGGTAGATTAAGTAATTTATTCAAAATGACTGGAAATATCTTCTTCACTGTAATTGGGCTCAGCGCTTAGCCCTACTATGTGGACATTTTGTCATATACTCCCCGCTTACGTTTAAAAACGCAATTGGATGACTATAAGGGCATGTTTCGTAAGTATCACTAGACAGTGCTATAGATGATCTGAACTTATTTCTCTTCCTTAACATTGTCCGATACTATACACTACGTCTTATAAAACAATCTATAAACTGTTGGTTTCTGTTTGTAAAAACAGTAAATATCAATCCAAATTTTATGCTGTATAATTGGTTATTGAGTACAGATTGAACTTGTCGGTTTCTCTGGCTACTTCTATATGTGGACTCAACTTAAATTAATGCGATAACTCAAATATGATTTTATCGTGGATGTGTCCTCGTGATGATTCGCTTAATTCTTATTTTTCCCTATTTAGGTTGAGATTGTCATGGGACTGGAGGAAGAGTTCGGGATCAGCGTGGAAGAAGAGAGTGCCCAGACCATCACCACCGTTCAAGAAGCAGCCGATATGATCGAAAACCTCAAGGCTAAGAAGGCTTGAAAAATTTGAGCAAACATTTAGCGGCCTAGGTTTGCCTGGGTAGTTCCTTAACATATATTTAAATCTTGGTTTGCTTTATAATGATCCCTACATAGTCGTTGTCTTTGCTCGTTTTGTTCCGTTCGGAGGAACTAGCTCATCTCATTCTTCGTTTTCTTATTTCTGCTACATCTTTACCAGAACATGTCGAAGGACTTATTTTAATTTTTTTTTCTTTTTTTTTTTTTTAACCGTTTTCATTTCGTTGATGGAATCATTTGTGGTTTTACTATAATTCATTTAGATTTGAGCTAGAGTTAAAGTTAAGATTGTGAAGAATGTGGACAATGATCCCAACATTATCAAGCTATATTCCTCATTCCCCCAAATCAACCTACAAATCCTTCAATGATTGATATCTCTATCTATTCATTGTTGTTGGTTTGGTTCCACCTATAAATCCTTCAATGATTGATATCTGTTCAATGTTGTTGGGTGGGCGGTTGGGGACGGGGATGTGGGTCGCACGATATGTTTGTTATGTGTTGTATTGGACATGACTTAAGTTGCAATTAAGCCACCCCCCCAGGGTTTGACGACTATATATGCCCCTATTTGGCCCCCATTAAATTATATTCCATTACATACCATTTTTCTCTCTTATTTTCAACAACACAATCTTCTATAAAATAATATTACACGCAAATCGAAAATTTTTCTTTCTTTTTCAATCGAATATTATTCTACCCATTTTCATTTTCAAAAAATGGGGGCGAAACAGGGGCTATATATATTAAAGAAAATGAGTTTTTGAAGAGTAATTGTTTTGATAATGCGCGTTAAAAAGTATGAAAAATTTTTGGGTTTATGTGAGAAATATTTTACTCTGAAAATATGTGATTGAAAATGAATATGCGAGAAAGAAATTTCGAAGGAATGGTTATCAAACAGGGGCTAAATTGTAATAAAAATCTTCTATCAAGTTCTTTTAGGTTATGTAAATCATCCTCGCTGCCCTCAATTAGGGCATTGGTGCTTTGACATATCATCTCTTCCTCTTCGTAGGGAATTTTTTTTGGGAAATGCTATGTGGTGTATTTTTTTTGGAAAATGCTATGTGTACATCATAAGGTGTACACAATGCATTACACCTCTCTCACATGGAGAGGGCTCATTAATATTTTATTGTGTGTGGACTTCCCTTTATGTGGGGGTGTAATACTATGTGTATACATAGTATTTTCCTTTTTCTTTAAAACTTTCGAAATGTGGAATATTTACTTCTTGTCATTATTATATTGACAGGTGTATTAGTTCGGTGGAATCAAGTATTTAACTTTTGTTTGAGCTTCAATTTTTTTAAAATTAATTTTTTTCAAAACTTATTTTTAATCACATATTTTTCAATAAAAATAATATTACATACAAATTTAGAAATTTTTCTTAATTTTTAATCACACATTCTCCATTAATTTACTATTCAAAATACATTATTTTCCCAAAATGAGGCTTAAACAAGGGCATTGGAAACCAAGCATGAATAAATAGTGTGTGTGTGTATATATATTTTAGATATTATATCAAGTGAGAATTATTTTTTGGACATTTTTATCATTATCATAATTTAACTATTTCAATAATACATTACTTTTCATTTTCAATATATATTTCATTTATTTAGCCATTTAGTTGCTATCAATATCCATATATATTTGACAGATTTATCTCACCTACATGCTTTCATTAATGTATGAATCATTATTATTAATTCTCAATTAATTAATATTTACATTTATTTAATTAATATTCATCTTCATTTATGCATTTCAGTTGTTATTATTTCTAATTATATGTTAATTAAAATTTAACATTGAAGAATTTATTTCATTATTCACGTCCATATATACTAATTAACATCCAATTTTACTTAGAGCATGTTTGATGCCCCCTTTTTGTGTAAATAATGCATTTTTGAATAGTGAATTGATAAAGAATTTGTGGTTAAAAAATAAAGAAAAGTTTTGAGTTTATATGTAATATTATTTTATTAAAAAATATGTGGTTAAAAAGGAGCGAGAAAAATGTATTTTGAAGAAAGGGGAATCAATCAAGGTCTTAATTGAAAATTAAATAAATGATTTAACATTCATTGTAACGTATTTATTTTCTAATATTAATTATAAATTAATTAACATTAACGCATATCAAAATGTTAATTTTACAGCATTTATAAAGTATTTAATAATAACGTGTAATGCACGTTCAACGTTAATTAGTCAATTCAAAAATGAGAGTGAATATTGTGTTTTATATTTAGAAATTTTGAATATAATTTTAAACGAAAGACGAACCCTCAAATCACTGGGAAATATGAGCTTCTAGATTGCGTTGAAGGTACTCAACCCGCTCATTATGGTTGAGTTAACTGTTAACCTTCGACTTGGTTCAATCAAGAATTTACGTAGAAAACTACTTTTATTCAATTTGCCAATTGAAGCGAAAATTCGAAACTGCATTATATACGAAATCCTTATCGTCAAGTCATTAATTTTCTTGACCTTTCAGCATTGGGTGGACATCAGTCACCGTTATAAGAATGCAATTTCAATTTTGCTTCTGAAATAAATATCGTTTGAAAAGGGTACAAATGATGGGGACAACTCAGGAATGAAATAATTGTCCCTGTTTGATTCTGAATAAGGTAATTGACTTCATTTGCCAGGAAAAAAGATAAAAGAGTTAGATGGTTGGACCGACTGTTATGGCCCCAACACTGTGTCTTCCCAATTTAAATTGAGAAAATACAAAGTTACGTCAAATCATTCTCGATATAGCAATAAAAGCAAGACGTATAGGTAGATCAATTCATAAAGTTAATCCTTCGGGGGTTCCCTCAGGTTTTTTTTTTTTTTTTTTTTTTTTTTTGACGCTAAGAAAGAACTCGGATCTTGATTTTGTGCAATCTTTATTCTGTAAATTCGTTTTTTATGTTACACGTATAAGCATCACAGAGAATACCTTCCATTTTCAACTAAAAAACAACCCTAAATCACACATTCCTTCGATCACGTGAGATTAAACACTAGCGTTAATTACACTAGTCAAGCGATCGAATTGAAACAATTTAAAATTGAATAACTAACACGAACGAAACACTTATAAATTTTTTGGGTTGTTTTATTTCTACGACTAATTTAAACAAACATGAATACCTTTAGGGCATATTTGCGAGTTTTCTTGTCAATTTAGCCCCCGTTTGGCCCCAATTATTTGGATTTATAATTGGGGGAATATTTTTTTTTTTTTTAATTTTAAAAATGGACGGTTGTAAGAGAATGAAAAGTTTTTGATTTACCTATAATATTATTTTATTGAAGATTATGTTGTTGAAAATAGGAGAGAGAAAGATTTAAATTAAATTGATGAGTTTTAATGAGGCCAAACGGAGGCTTAGACTAATTTTGGATGTTACCATTTATGATAGTTTGAAAAAATTGATGTTTACTAAATTTTGCGGGCATTGATTTTGGACAGCTTAAAAATCATCCAAAATTGATGTATTATAATTTTGACAATTTCTCTCAACCCACCAAATTGGTGATTTTTTTTACTGTTTCTTATATTCTCTTCTAATTTATTGTTTATAAAATGATTATTTTCAATTAATATATTTTGTTTATATTTAACTTGTAAATAAAAATACATTAATTAAAAAATATTTATAAAAAATTACTTACAAGTGAAATATTACTTTTAAATTAAAATTCACTTTTGTGTAAAATTTATATATAAAGTAAAAATACTACCAATAAGATAAAAACTAGCTTAAAAAATATAAAAAAATTACTTATAAGTGAAAAAGTTCACTTGTATCAAAATTGTTTACAAGCATAAAATTAATTTATAAATGTAAAATTTAGTTATAAGTAAAAAAATATTAATTTTAAATTTTAATTATAAATAAATATTTATTTTTTATGTTAAATATTAAAATATAACTTATGAGTAAAAAATTCATACAAGAAATTATAAATTTAAAATTTTATTATTTGAAATGAATATTAAACTTTCGTATTGATCTATTTTTAAAAATTGTTTCTAAAGCTATTTTGTTCAAAATCGATCAATTCACAGATGTTTAAAACGCCAATGATCAGCACCCAAAACTCGCAAGTAGGACCTTAGGATCTTTGATTTTATACCTCACCAACCACAGCTGACAACACCAACACCAACACCAACACCAACCACAATCACTACCCATCCCACCAAACTTTCCAAAAACTCCAATCTTTTCAATAGTTCAAGTTCAAATCATTCTTGTCTTCCTCATTCAATCCATTTAAATATATAGCATCCACACTCACTTTGCACCCACTGAAAATCTGACCAATTTTGTGCCAAATTGTAGCAACTTCCCTCCGTGCATAGCTACACATGGAATTCGTAAGTTTCAGACAAACTTAATTTCTCGCATTGTTTTTGGGTCTACGTGTTTTTTGTGTTTTGGGAAGGTTGGATGCTGCTTGCTAATTTTTACTAGAAAATAAAAGAATTTAATTGACTTTTTAAAGTCATTGTATAAATAATTGAATTTCTCACTTGCCCAACAAATTTTCTGGTCGATTTTTTTATTTTTTTGTTAATTTTCAGTTCTTTTTTAACATCCCGTTTTCCATTTGATTTCTGTAGTTATAAATTTTGGTCCTCGACTAATATCAAGAACAAAAAAGCTAATAGAGTCAAAAGAATTGAAAGTTTGCCAAGAATCCAATCTTCCTACACTTGCTTTTAGTTCTTGACCCATCAAAGAAAGCCCCAAGTTTTTCTTGAGTCTCAACTAGAAAAATCAGTTCTTGAATTGATTTGAATTGTGGGATTTTTTTTCAGGCAGTTGAATCTAGTTTGAAGACCATGAAGAGTGGGGAGGGGGTGAGGAGGAACCAGACTTTGATATGTGCACCATTGATGTCTGATACAGTAGATCAAATGGTGGATTTGATGCTCAAGGCTAAGTCGAAGGGAGCCGATATTGTGGAAATCAGATTGGATCACTTGAAGATTTTCAACCCTTACACTGATATTGAAAAATTGATCAAAGTCTGTCCTCTGCCCACTCTCTTTACATACAGGTTGAGATTTAGCAGCCAAAATCATACTTCATATTTTTTCAATTTAACCAATGTTTGAAAAGTCAAGGCTTGGATCCAAATCTACTAAGTTGTGTCACCCTGAAACTTGCTTGAGTCAAAATACAGAGACTTGGTTGCTCTGAAAAGCAGGGCTGATGTTATATTGATATATTCTATCAAACTGGCTAGATTTAATGTTTTTCGCTGTCTTTAGCTATAATCCTATCTGTTGCAATCATAAATTATTACGGCTCGTTCAAATACTTGCTCTAACTTATTGGAGGTTGGGTGAAAATTCAATGAAACACAATAGTCGCCAAAAATTTCAGTACCAAGTCAAGGTAACTCTGATGTCTGGGCGAGTTCTTAGACACTGAATTTAAGCTGTCAAAATTCTATCTTTATTATATATGTTGAAATTTTAATATGCGTGTTATAAAGTTCTGTCTAGAGGAGCTTTGGAACTGGAACATATGGATGATTATATGCATTACATCTTTGCTTTTTTGAAGTGGTATTTTAATTAAAGAACTAAATCTTGGGCATGCAATACATTAATTCCATGTGTACGAAATAGAAAGGAAACTTAAGGGTGAAAGATACCGAATACAGCACTGTGGTCAGCTCTAAAAGTCTTGAAAGGAAAGAAATTTAACTATGGACAAAATTTTAGGGTTAGCTTAATTTTTTCTGTGATAGCAATATTCTTGGTCTGACTGCACAATATTCTCATACTTTGAATTTCAGGTCCATTTTCTACAAGCTAACTCAGATTGAATTTTAATTCAAGGAAATTCATGTATGTTTACCATTAAAATGGCTCTGCTTTTGTTTAGAGTTGAATTTACTTTCTTGGAAGGAAAGTCTTCTTAAAGATTCTATAAAATATTATATTTTGAAACCAAGTTATTTACTTTTCAGAAAATTTTATTGATAGGATAATTTACCTTCTTTTTATTCTTAGAATAAAAGTGGAAAGAAACTGATGCGTTCTTAAAATTATATGTCCGGCTACCATATAACTTCATTTGAACTGGTATAAATTTTATAGATGTCTGTCTAGATCAATACATATACACACACATATATACACAAATGACCTCCTAAACACCGGTGCTTAGCTTATGTCAAGCACCGGTGACAATGGTGAATAAGTTGTCACCGGTACTTAACATAAGCTAAGCACCGGTACTTAGGAGATCATTCCTCCGTCTGTGTGTGTGTATTTAGTATCATTATAGGTATTAGTCTAGTTATCCTTTATATGTCAATTCAAATTTGTTTTCCTCTAAGTAAGTTATGCTGAATTTGGGGTGTTGTATTAGGTTTCCAACATCAAAAACACAACATTGAAAGTCCTACCTCGATCCCCTTAAAAATTACGTTCGAGGACTAAGAATTTTCTAAAATTTGAAGGTGTTAAACTCATCTGTCAAGGCCTCATGTAAAAAAGAGGTGGGTGATGGTTTTGTTATTTTTGCTTGATTTCTTAGATTGTCTCTCTCAGATCTGCAGAGCATAAATTAGATGTCAATTCACTGCACAGTTCATAGTTAATTCGCATCTACCATTTATTTTCATTGTATGAAATTTGAATGGCTTGCATGGCTGCTCTTTTGCTTTCTAAAGGCTCAGGTATTTAGTTCTCGTGCTTATCATAATGCTTTTTTACACAAACCATTGTCAGAGACTTCTATGTTGCTATGATATATGTATATATATAGACTATATAATATATTCATTTTATGGAAACTTCTGATCTCACATTTTTACTAGACCAATATGGGAAGGTGGTCAATATGATGGTGATGAAAAAAGTCGTTTCGAGACACTTCAACTTGCCATGGAGTTGGGAGCTGATCACATTGACATTGAGCTTAAGGTTCCTTTTTCCTTCAAAATGCCACATTATATAAAAGCTGTCCGAAATAATTTCTATAGCTTTATTTGAGAGATAAACTTCAAAACACAACAAGACAAGATTTTTTTCGCAATATAAGCTAATTCATCATTAAAGAAAAAATATACGAAGACTCGAAGTTCGACATTGGCACATGCCTATAGGGTAAATAATTTCTATTATTATTAAGACTAGATCTCACGCTTGTAATCGCTTCATTGTGCATATCCTTAATAAGATAGATATTTATATTGCAAAATTTCTCACCCACCATAACACTGCCTTGGGCACACACTAGCACGAGCCTTTTTAAATCAATAAAAACTATGAACATTTGTTTTTCCTTTTTTCTTTCTTTATCAATATATGAAACAGTTGAATGACTTCCGTAGTAGATAATAAATCAAACATGTTCATAGACCTTTGGATTACACTTTTATCTATGTGCAATTATTCTTTCCTTTAAGTTCACCCATATGTCTATTAGCTTATTACCCTTCACACTTATTACAATTTTAAATATCTCTTTTATGTTACAGCCACATCAGACATAACTAATAATATCTAATCCTCCTGTCCCCTCTGAATTTTGGACCGAATATGGAGAAATTTTTGTGAAGATCTTAAAAAAAATAAAAAAAGTGTGCGAAGGCATAAAAGATTTTTGTTATCATTTATGATCAGAAACCTAAGTTTTCTTGTTTCTAATATATCTTGAAAAAATTAATTCTTGCTGAAGGACTTGCTTGCATCGCTTCTCATTGGAAACAAAGCTCTTTATTTTAGTCAATTTGTCAACTTCAACCTATGGCATTTGTTTTGCCATGAATATTCATTTATCTAGTCTAACAAAAGCTAGAAAATCTCGTGCAGTGTTTGCCAGATTATGCTGCATGCTTATAATCCTAAGATTTCAGATTTTTTATTATTTGCTTTATTTTTGGTCTTTGTGCTTATATTCTACTAAGCACAGCTCAACACAATCTTATACTGAAGATATTCTGTGAAGGCTGCACATGAGTTCAACGATTTTTTGCACGGAAATAAACCTGGAAAATGCAAAGTCATTGTTTCTTCTCACAACTATGATAGTACTCCACCAGTTGAGGACCTAGGAAACCTAGTTGCAAGTATACAAGCTGCTGGAGCTGACATAGTAAAGTTTGCAACAGCAGCTTTGGATATCACAGATGTGGCACGTGTTTTCCAGATAGCAGTTCATTCCCAAGTAAGCAGCTTTATTAATTATTGATTTATCAAAGAATTTTTCTGAAATTATTTTCATGCATATTGGTCAGATTATGCTATCAAGATCCAGGATTGTAAAAGTAGCTTCAAAGTTTGTGATTTCGCCAATAAATTTTTCCCTAACTATGCAATTTTGGATAATAAGATTCATACGGCTCCCTGCTCCCTGTCCCCCCACCACCCAACAAAAAAAAAAAAAGAGAGAGAGAGAGAGGAGACAAAACAGTATGTAAAGGGTAGATAACAGACCTTCACATATTATTTCCGGAGATGGGACGTGTTACGTCCCTGGCTGCTACTTGTTACAGTCTTCTTATCGTAAAGGGTTTTTTGGTTGTAATGCCTCCTATTAATTACATGTGTAATGGAATGTTATATATACTTCCAGAAGTACTTCTTTTCAGTATATGAGCATAATATGTATTTATTCTTTAGGTACCAATTATAGCAATGGTAATGGGAGAGAGAGGATTGATGTCAAGAGTACTTTGTCCAAAGTTTGGTGGATATCTCACTTTTGGTACTCTGGAGGCGGGAAAGGTATCTGCTCCTGGGCAACCAACAATAGAGGAGTTGGTTAATTTGTACAACTTTAGACTGTTAGAGCCTGATACAAAAGTTTTTGGGGTTCTCGGGAATCCTGTAAGCCACAGCAAATCTCCAAAATTGTATAATGAAGCTTTCAAATCAGTTGGCTTTAATGGAGTGTACCTACATTTATTGGTGGATGACGTTCCAAAATTTTTCGCGACATATTCCTCAATGGATTTTTCTGGCTTCAGGTCAAATCTTAAAGCCTAATATGGTTAATTCGCTCATTCATTATTTCACCATGCTTTAATTGTTCTCTGCATGTGTGTGTGTGTGTGTTTATGTGTGCAATTTCTCCACGCTTTAATTGTTCTCAGCCATGATTGGAGGTTCCATGAAATTGTTAATGATCAAAACTGGCTTCTGTTTTAAGAATCCTCCTCCTCACTGTACCTTTTTCAATTTCCCACTCAATTCATATTTTTATCTATCATGCTCTAACATGTGTATGTTGATTTACTAGTCAGTTTCACTGGATTAATAAACCCCATTTTGCATTTTACTCTAACCTGCTGATTAATCAGTTTTAACATTTTTCTGTGTCTGCTGGTTCTTAAGAATGAATTCCAGGCAGTTTTTATACCACGTTTAGCTAAACAGTGAAAATGGGATTTTCTTTGTGCCATGTTTGGCTGCATGAAGTTGGGCCATAAAAATTGATCTAAGAAATGTTGTTAAAAAAAAAAAAAAATAAATAGTCTTGAGGACCCAATTTCATACTGCCATTTCTTTTAAGATGATGAAATGCTTTTACAGAAAACTTGTGTGTCCATCAATGCACGGGCTTTGGTTTTTTCAGGTTTTTGTGTGTGGTTTAACCTGTGAGCTAAGTATTTTCTGTATAACATTAGCCTGATTAAGGAGGAAAAGCCCAGTTAACAATTGATTTCGGTATAATAATCAAATTGAGGAATTATTATTGCTAGTGGAATTAACTTGATGTTGAAGAGCGTTGTATCTGACATTACTTATTGGTTAATGTTATTTAGGCGTCACTTGTCAGTTATGTCAAGCTATGTAGCAAAAGTTTTCATTTTTCTGGAGCATTTGTATCGGTACCCCTCTCTATTTGCATACTGATTGACCAAATGAACATGATTGAATATTAACGAATGATTTTTTTTTTTTTTTTGTTTTTTTGTTTTTTTTTTTGGGGGCTTGGTTTGTGGGCTTTCCTACAGTAAGTCAAGCTGCAGCCGCGCCTCATATAACAATAATAAAAAAGTAGGATGTTTCCTCAATGGATTTTTTTGGCTTCAGGTCAACTCATAGAACCCAATTTGGTTCAATCTTTCAGTGGTCAACCTATAGCTCATTTGTTATTTCTCTGTGCTTTAGTTGCTCTCTCTCTCTGTGTTTCAGTGTTCAATTACTTCTGCCTATTTTTCTCTCTGCCTAGAGCTGTTTGAGTTTTCGTATTTTCCTTTTCTTTTTCTATAAAGTCTCGTCGAATCAATTTACTTGAGTTTTCTTTCTTCCTTTAGCTGTTTCCAAACATGTTTATCATGTCCTCCTTTGTATCTGATGATCCTCTCATGTACAGCTTTATGACACATTGACAAAAGAAAAAAATTAATTTTCATTTACTAAATGTGAAGATTACATCCTGCAGCGTGACTATTCCTCATAAGGAAGCTGCACTTGCCTGTTGTGATGAAGTTGATCCTGTTGCAAAGGTAATTGGTGATAATGTCACATTGTAATGTGCATGTACCAATGCAACTATCATGATTATCGATGTCATTAAGGTACTCTTCGCTTGTGGTTTTTTTTTTTTTGGACCAGTCGATAGGGGCGGTTAATTGCGTCATCAGGCGTCCTGATGGGAAGTTGGTTGGCTGCAATACAGACTATGTTGGTGCAATTTCTGCCATTGAGGATGGCCTTCTAGGTTTCTGCTATGATTTAGTAGCTTAACAGAATTGCTTAATTTGAGTAGAAGCTGAGTGTTGGAGCTATATGGCGTTACAGGTTTGCACAATGGCTCTATGGGAAATTCGTCGCCCTTGGCTGGAAAACTGTTTGTAGTCATTGGTGCTGGTGGAGCAGGCAAGGCACTTGCATATGGTGCAAAAGAAAAGGGAGCAAGAATTGCAATTGCCAATCGCACCTATGGTTAGATTTCCCTCCGGCTTTCCTTTTTTTCACTTCTTTCTTTAACCTCGTATTCCAATTGAAGCTCATACTGGTTCTCCAATTTTCTGACGTAAAGTTTATGTGCTTGCTTGGCTAGGCATTTAAGTACTTATATGCAATGGGTCTCAAGGAATATGTGATTAAAAAGTAGATAAAAGTTATGGGTCCCATGAAATGTGGATAAAAATTGGGTTTGACCAGTTTATATGCGATTATAAGCTTAACCAAACTTGCACTAAAGTTTTCTCTTCCGTGATCTTGTCTTTCTATTTATAATTGCTTGTATTTTCTCATTTTGTCAAAAGATCGAGCTAGAGAACTCGCTGACCTTGTTGGAGGGCAGGCTTTGTCTCTTGCTGAGTTAGATAGTTTTTGTCCCGAAAAGGGAATGATACTTGCAAATACTACTTCAATTGGGATGCATCCGAAGGTCAACGAAACACCTGTTTCCAAGGTTAGACGTCTAATGATGTTCTTCATCCGTCGAGTGCTCTCCATCATGTCTATTTGTCCTGCCACTGTAACAACTTAATCATTTATTATAAGGGTCTATCTGATACGTGCTACTGGACTGGATTGGACATTACAATTACCAAGATTTTAGCTTATTTTTCTTTTTCAGTACTATCCCGTGCTGTCCAGTTGATCCAATCAACTTTTAAAAAAAAAAAAAAAAAAATTATGTTATAGGTCCCATTTCTAATTCTTAGCCTTTTCAGTAGTTGCTAGAGATTATCAAATTGTTCTGCTTTTGCAGGAAGCTTTAGCAAATTACATGCTCGTTTTCGATGCTGTTTACACTCCCAAAATCACTAGACTTCTGCGGGAAGCAGCAGAATCAGGAGCCAAAATTGTCCCAGGAGTAGACATGTTCATTGGACAGGCATATGAACAATACGAAAGGTTCACTGGGTTCCCAGGTAAAGAAAATTAAATGGACTTCTTTTGCTTACGTAGAAAAGGCGTCATTTCATTTGCTTGTCCTGATTATTCGACTTCCAATTGCAGCGCCAAAGGATCAATTTAAGAAAATCATGGAAAATTGACGACGGGAAGGCTTGTTCGGCTTCTCTGGGTCGGCTATTTATCTTCTTTGACAGCACTTGATATTCTTCTCGTGGTCATTCTTTTTGGTATGCAGTATTAGATGATACTGGACGATGCAATGAGAAAGATAAGATGAACCAATCTGGAATTTCCTCCTTTTCTGTTGTTTTAGTATTCTTTTTTGTAATTCAAGTTGAGCTTGGACGGTAAGAACTGTACTTTAGAAAGTCATTGTAGGTGCAATTGTCATTGAGAATAATTGATTTCCAAAGATTGAAGTTTTGTAAGAATACTGTTCAGTTCTTTCAATGATTCATGTACTCAACTTCAAATAGTGTGCTGTTTTTATTCTACCAAATTCGACCATTTCTCTATAATTTCAAGTGCAATGTCCCCTTTCAGTGGGTTTCGAAGATAAAAATATTATTGACGGATGATTGCTTTAGGGAAATTCATGAAATCAATCATCATGCTCTCATATAGAACGAAAGTCGAGAAATTGAAAATTAATTAGTCGAACTCGCCAAAGAAGTAATAAACACCAATGTTATGAAAATGGGTTCTCTACCTACGACTTCAAAATAACGAGTTTTATGATCAATTTAACCGCAACATTTATAACAATCTTATTGTATTCTACATCATTAGGCTAAAAATTAGTTTGTGGGTTCATAATCAATAGAAAATAGAAATTCCTTCTGTACAAATCGATTTTAAAGGTAAGAAGCGGTTACAATTTGTACTAAAGTTGAATTTTTTCTAGAGATTTCCCTCGTTGCGGACTAGACGATATGGAAAAGGCTATTTTTAATAGAGGACCATAAAGTCACCTAGTGGGGAGGAGGTCAATGTGGAAGTAGGCTCTTTTCCAATGCAATGACCCTAATCGTAACGCCGATTTGGCACTCCCCAAGTAAATTGATTTTAGAATAAATTGTAACGCCGATTTGTTTATACTTAAGTCCTGTTTGGCTTAATCAAAAATTGGATTCTTATTATATTTTAATAAAAGTTAATAAAATATGTGATTGGAAGGTTAATAAAAATTGTCATCCTATAAAATATATGGTTAAATTAATTGGGTCTAAAAGTAAGTAAATCGGATTTACTTTTATGTAACCTACTTTGAATACTTTTTAAGGTTTGAGTTTTAGAGGGTGTATTCAATTGAGACTTTTAATGATTTTTTGGGATTTAAAAAATTTAGGAGTGCTCATTTCAACTTTGTGATAGAGGTGGGCGCGTGTCGGTTCGATTCGGTTCGGTTCTAAAGAGAACCGAACCGAACCGAACTTTTCGGGTATCTAGTAAATGGAATCGTCGGGTCCAAATATAATTATGGAACCGTTCGGGTTCAGTTCCATTCGGTTTGGTTCCGTTCGGTTCTGTACTATAATTAAAATTTTTAACATTTATAACAACGTTAGATAAATACGACTAATGATACATTCAATGGTTTTGGAATGTCAAAGATTAGTAAACTATCTTGTTCAAATGATCGCTACGATCAAAGCTTCAGTCAGCGAAAGTCACTGCTTCGATCGGAGGTTAGGGTGTCTGTCGACGATTGTATAGGTTTTGGAATATTAGCGAGGCTGCGAGAGTGAGTGCGAGAGTCGAGACAACGTTATGCACTTTATTGTAGGTGTTTAGGGTTATTTAGTTGATTTGATCTTGTTTGGCTAAGAAATGAAACAATAAAATGGGTAATTGGGTCAAAAATTAAAAAATTAGAAATGCAACAAATTATTGGACTAAAAATTAGAATTTAGAAATCATTAATTTGTTAATTTGTTTAGAAAAAATTAAAATTAAAATAATTTGATTTACTCAATATAAAAAAAAATTATAAATATTCGGTTCTTATTCGGTTCTTCGGTTCTTGGTCTAGAACTAAGAACCGAACCGTACCCATCGGTTCTTAATTCAGATACCCGTTTGGATATTTAATTTGACAAGAACCGTCGGGTTTGGATCGATTCGGTTCGGTTCGGGTTTGGTTCGGAAGATTTGCCCAACCCTACTTTTTGAGACTCTCTAAAAGTCACGGTGTATTTAATTAAGACTTTTATAGACTTTTAAAAAGTCTCTAAAAGTTACGGTGTATTCAATTAAAACTTTTTAGAAGTCTTTATAAGTCTTGGAGTATTCAAATTTTAATGATTTATAGAGACATTTATAAAAGTTTTTGGAGTACTAACTTTTAAACAGAAAGTACTTATATAATATCTTAAAATTTGTTTCTCATTAATCATGAGATTTTGAGAGATTTCCACAAAAATTTAAAAAAATTAAAAATAAAATTTTCCGATCTTTTTTTCCTTTAACCTTCTATGGACATGTTAAAATTTATTTTTTTCCAGTTATTATATTCCATTTATTTTTCTTTCCTCTCTCTTATTATTTATTTCTATTTTCTATGAAAAAATTAAATTGAATTCTTATAACATTTTTTTTTCATTCATTTTTTGTGAAAAATATTATTTTTTATTAAATTATAAAATTTTATATGAAAAAAACTATATATATGTATAGTTTTCATTATTAATTATTTAATTAAGGTCTTCAATATTTATTTTTTCAATATTTTTTTATTATATGAAAAGAAGACGGAGAAGGAAAAGGGGAATTATGGAAACTAAAGAATTTCATACCAGATTCATGTGAATTTTATTTCAAATGAAAGTTTTCAAAAGTCTTTTGAATTCTACAAAAATTTATGAAAAATTTAAAATGAAAATCTATAGAAGTCTACGAAAAACTTCTACTAATTTCATACAAAACTTTAAAAATTCACGAAATCTACAAATATCATCACTTAAAAAAAGTCCATCAAAAATTTCAAAAGTCCCTATTGAATGCACCCCCACACACAGACAGTTGCTTCATATATCATACACCACAAGGTGGGATTAGTGGAGCAGAATTTATGCTAATTTTCAATGTTTGAAACAAGAACATTAATTTAATACTCTGTTTTGACACATTGATGGGTTTCTTTGGCTGTGTAGTACTACCGTTTCAACTCAATGCGTTCACATTTAATTCAAGTCACCTCTAGAATAGCTGTTCTTGGGAAATCAGGGCGCATATCATGCGCACGCAAGTTATTCGATGAAATGCCTCAAAGGGACACAGTTGCATGGAATGCAATGCTCACTGGATATTGCCACCTGGGCCTTCACCAAGACGCTCTACCCTTGCTCCAATGCATGAGAATCAGCAACGTCAAGCCCGATCACTTCACGTTCACTGCGGTACTGAGCGTGTGTGCGGGGAAGGATCTACAGTTTGGGCAAAATCTCCATGCGCTTGTCACTGTTTCAGGGTACAATTCATCGTTGCCGATAAATAACGCTCTTATTGATATGTATGGGAAGTGCTCAACTGTGGGGAATGCGAATAGAGTGTTCGAAGAGATGAGTCTTAGGAATGAAGTTTCATGGTGCTCTTTATTGTTTGCTTATGTAAATATTCGAGTTTTTGATATTGCTAATAGTATTTTGTGTGCTATGCCGAAAAGGGTTGTTATAGCCTGGAATACTATGATTGCTGGTTATGCAAAATCAGGGAGGATGGAATTTTGTATAGATTTGTTTAGGAAGATGTTGGAGGATCTATGCAGCCCGGACAAATGGACTTTGAGTGCCCTCATGAATGCTTGTGCTGAAACAAGTGAATGTTGTTATGGTTGTATGGTGCATGGTTTCATTATTCGAAGTGGCTGGAGTTCCGCCGTGGAGGTTAACAATTCTGTTGTTAGTTTCTACGCAAGCTTTGGAGATGAAAACAGCGTTTTGAAGGCAGTCGAAAGCGTTGAAATATTGACTCAGGTGTCTTGGAATGTGATTATTGATGCTCAAATGAAGATAGGCAATATTGACGAAGCGTGTCTTGCTTTTCAGCAGGCGCCTGAGAAGAATCTTGTTTCTTGGACATCTATGATTGCTGGATATGCAAGAAATGGACATGCAGAACATTCTACGAGGTTTTTCATTAATATGATAAGAGGCGGACTTTTGCCTGATGATTTTACATTTGGAGCTGTTTTACATGCTTGTTCTAACTTGGCAATGTTGGGACACGGTAGAATGGTCCATTGTTTTGCAATTCAATTCGGTTTCTACGCTTATGCTTATGTTGGCAATGGCTTGGTGAACATGTATGCTAAATGTGGGGACATAGAAGGTTCGTGCATGGCCTTTAATGATGTTTACGAGAAGGATTTGATCTCGTGGAATACAATGTTATTTGCATTGGGATTGCACGGACACTCTAGCCAAGCTCTTCAGATTCTCGAAGAAATGGTAGCTTATGGAATGAAACCAGATAAAGTCACCTTCATAGGCCTGTTGATGACTTGTAGTCATCTAGGCCTTATAGAGAAAGGCCTTGGTCTTTTTGAATCAATGAGCTCCAAGTACAGACTCTATCCTGAAACCGACCACATGGCTTGTATGGTAGATATGCTAGCTCGAGGTGGAAAGTTGGAAGAAGCAAGAGAGTTAGCAAATACATATCTAGGAAACAATAGTGTGGAGGTCAGCTCAGTCGAGGCCCTTCTTGGATCATATTCCACTCAAGGCGACATAATGGGTGCAGAGTTGGGGGAGCAGCTGCAGAATTTGAAGCCTCACAATGAGATGAGTTATGTCATGTTGTCAAACTTGTATAGTGCAAGTGGGCAGTGGAAAGAAGCCGAGATTGTGAGGAGAGTGATGGCAGATCAACGCGTCAAGAAAATGCCTGGTTGTAGTTGGATTGAAGTAAGAAACGAGGTGACAGCATTTGTGGCTGGAAGGATTCAATCCTCGTTCATGGAGGAGGTATACAATATGCTACATGTTCTTGAATCTGAAATAAGGTATCCTTGGTCTATTCATTTATGGGACGAAATTACTTGAACAAGCAGACTGGTATACCTCTGATGAATCAATGCTCGTTCTTCAATGAAACTGAATGATATTGAGCTCGGGAAGGACCTGGCATAATATCTGACATATGGACAACAGCATTCATCGCCATAAAGTAGTCCATGTGAAGATTTCTAGTTAAGGCAAGACAAAAATAGGCTGGCACGAGCTAAGGGGATGATACAGTTCAATTCCAGCCGTAAGGATGGCTTTTGCTCATGTCTCGTCTAGCCGAAGCAACATAAGAGCCATCTTTACCTGAAATCAAGATTTGATTCCTTTTATGTATAATGCAGAACTGCATAGCTTGATCTACTAAGTTTTGCGGACCGGCATCTACATACCTCGGTGGCTTGTTCGTAAGATAAGACTTTATAGTATTGAGGAACAAAAAGAAGTTAAATCTTTTTCATTGAATATGCTACGGAATGACTTCCTTTGTTTGTTTAGATTGACTTTTGCATTTATGTATCAGTTGTGTAAAGAATTCATGATCTTGTGAATGTGAAATTATTGAGAACTACAAAATCCATGTCCAGGTGCAATTCCTATTTTTTTAATCTTCAGGGGCCTGAATGCAATAAATAAATATTCAAGAGATTGAGTTAAAAAGAATCATCCTCCCAAGTTGAGTAGTACGTTTTTAAATTTTTGAGTCAATCATGAATTTAAAATAGCATATCACGTACTTGTAGTTAAGAAGAATGTTTTTTTAAATTTTTGAGAGGTCAATCAGGAATTTGATATAACGTGTCAAACTTATCACGCACTTATAGTTTACAATTAGTCTTCGACAAAAATTGTCTAATTGTTCATTAATCAATACTTGACTCCCTACAATCCAACCTTTTATTAAGTTAAAATTTCTTTCTCAATTTAGACTAATACTAAAAAAAATTGAAGTGAGGCATATTTTTATGAGAAACACATGATGATTAAGTGAAGATTCGGATAGTTTCCTCAGCTAGTGATTGATGTGATAATAAAAGATTGAAAACTAACTCTTTCTAAACATTAAGAACCAACTCGTTACTCGGACATTTAGGAACAAGCATTGTGTCACGACATTTAACATCGTAAAACGTCTATTTAGTCGATAAATGGCCATGTACGTGATGTTGTATAGGAAGGGTAAAATTATTTAGAAAAAGCAATAATGTAATTTGAATAGTTTCCATTTGATTTTGGGATCAAATAATCTTTGTGGTCGTTATAACGGGCACAATATTAAAAGGCTGGGGGCATAAGTGTGCCAAATGAAAGATTGGGGAACGTGTCTACCCCACCTGAGGAAGCTTGGGACAACTTAGGGAAATTAGCCCTAATTGTACCATATAATCGCACATCAAAAAATTTCGCAGTTTTCTAACCATTTCCCTCGCTGGATTCTTGAAACTGTGTTAGATCTGGGAGTAGGAGATAATGAAGTTTCTTGATTGGTATTTGAAGATAGCATTAGTTTCAGCCGCGATTGGGGGTTCCATGGAATTCTTCATGATCAAAACTGGCTTCTGTGTGAGAACCCTCCTTCTCAGTCTACTTTCAGAAGTTAATTATTTTTCTTTAACATGTATTTGGTGATTTAATTTTAAGTACTGGATTAATCAAGTGTTTTTGTGCGCGTGTGTTCTTAAGAAAGAATCGGAATGGTGTGCAGTTTATGTACAGGGAAAATAGGAATTTCTTGATGCTAGGACTTGGGTCCTAATAGTTTGATTAAAAAGAAACAAAAAAATCAATCTGAAGCCCAATTTCGTGCTTCCATATCACTTTTGAAGACAGTGACATGCTTTTACAAAATGCTTGTGCCTTCCAGGCAATACTAGGCTGCAATTTTCTTTGGGTTTCATGTGATATTAAGACTTGATATTTCATCTTAATTAGCCCAAGCCTTATGTGTTAGTTATTGTATTCATCTTTAACTGATGTGAGACTTATTCCTTAACATGCTCCGCAATATGGTGGCTCGTTTGAGCACACTAATCTTGGAATCGAAATGATCGTCAAGCTTTAAACCAACCGAATTGCTTATTTGAGCTTAACAGGTTCTGATACCAGTTCCACATCAAAGTCAACCTTGTTAAGATGAATAGACCAAGTCCTTATATATTGGTTATCAATTCAACAACTGAAATCAGTATATTCAATTAAATCAAATGAATTACTATTGCAAGTTGAGTTACCTTTATGCTGAAGAGCATTGTATCTGCCATTCCTTATTGGTTAATGTTGTTTAGAATCTGGTTTTCTATGTCAAGCTGTCTGTGTGTGACAAAAGTTTCATTTTTATAAAGTATTTGTAGCAGGACCCCTCTTTATTTGCGTACTCATGTACTGACGAAAATGATTAATTTATTCTCCTATGAGTTTCTCTAGCAGGGTGGGCATTCCTATGGCAGTTCAGCTGCAGCCTCGCCTTTACAGTTCTGTCCGAGCTTCGATTAGTCCATTTCAATACTTAACTTGGATATACTAAAGCTGAATTTTCATGTTCTCATTGTGAACATTTTGAATTGTTGTAATTGCAATGTGCTTCTTGTCGTCAATTTCCTGTTCATTCTCAATTTTAGTCAATACAAGAATTTTGATTGAGATCCTTATTTGCATTTCTATTTGGATTAATCAGATGATAAAGTGACAGTTCTAGAGTCAGAGAAGAGGGCTTGGGAGAATTCTCCTGAAGCTCAGGCCGTTAGAGAAGCTCTAAATCCTTGGAGAGATCAAGATAAGCAAGCAAGAAAAAGTTCCTAGCTTGTGTTTTTGAAGGTTTGACATTTTATTTCCGTTTAATACTGTTAGACTGCATCTGTCCTTCCATAATTAGAAAATTTTTGCCACAAAATAAGCTGATGGATTGCGCCAGGAGTATATGAGTAAAATATCGGGTGTTAATATAGCCTAACTAAGAGCATCTCCAATAGGCCCTTTAGTTCTCTCATTTGTTTTTAGAGAGCCAATCTTCATTTTACCTAGTCCAACAAACTATATCTTTAAAAATTTAAGCAGAAAGTGGATTTGGCTCTCCAAATGGAGAGAGCAAAACTCTCTCGATATATTACTTTAAATGTTTTCACATGAGATTACACAACTTTATATGAACTTCTTTGAAAGGAAGCAAGTAGAAAATGGAACAAAAACGTTTGGTTATTATTATTTATAGGAATAAGCAAACTAAAGAGCAAATACAAAGAGTTTTTATTGGACTATTCACACTTTATTTTAAAAATAATTTCAAGATGCTCTTTATATTTCAAATATGCTCTTTAAAATAAAGAGCAATGCGTTGTTGAAGATGCTCTAACAGGCTAGAGTCATTGGGTTATCTTTAGATGAATATGCCAACCATCAACATCCTGGACCTTAAATCTCTTAGTAATTATCTCTACTTCCCCCACTGGGTTCTGGAGTGAGCTAAATGAAGGGCCTTTGTGGGCATTGAAAATCCTCTGCAGAGAAATGTATTTATTTTTTAAGGCTGGAATAAGCAACCCTTCTCACCATGTCATGGATTGATTTTGTGAATGACGTCAAATAGGTGTTAAATTGTTCTAACTTGTGTCCTTTTGTATCGTGGTTCTTTTTCTTCTTCTTTTTTCATCTCAAGATGATCTGTGATTTTGTGATTACTAATAGATGTGTAGACCAATGATAATGTTATTATAGAATTAAGGAGGCTAATTTTGAGCACCATGCAGTATCTAATAAAGATAAATGATGCTTAAAAATCATGCTGTGGAAAATATTTATTAATTACCTAATCTTTCCGTGTCTTTTGCAGAGCAAGCTATTGGGATTGGACATGATAATTACAGAAAGAATTAGAGATTTGATAGCTGCATTAATATCAGTGGAGCTCGATGCCAATTACGCTAGTGTTTTGTAGTGCCATGATGAATGCTTAGCACGATTTTTCTGGAGTTGCTATACGTAACTGCAATTCTTTGCTTGGATGCACAATAAGAACCTTTTCGTGGTTTTTATGGTTAATATTATTATGAATTCCTTGTATTCATATTTAACGTGTATGAAAGTGGCATAATTAGTGAGTCATATAGTTCGTTTTGGTTATTAGTGAGGAATTATGTCCTTGGTTCATTATAAATATTTTGCTTTTTGGTGGGGATGGACTCCTTCAATTGAATGATTGATCTAAAGAGCTTGGTCTTGCATTTGCTAGAATGTATTCTCTTGAAGATTTGGACATGACAGGTGGTTGTATGGCAAGATTACTCGATAAAATAATTATGCACAGAAACGTTTATTGTTCTATTATGATTAAACGATTAATTTGTACTACTAAGAGCAACTAATAATTGGAAACTAATTGTAAAATTTAAGCAAGAAGACACTGCACCTGATGCTGCTACATAATTGCACTAAATTGAAGAAGATAACAGTGTGATTAGGATATACAGAAAGGAGGCTCGCCTTAATAATTTTCATGTTGGATGGAACTATTAACGCAACTTAATAAATAAACACAAGTTTCCGAAAGTACCCATATGAAGTTGACAGAAAATTGTCTATGATGCATAAGCGTAACAATTTGACAACGAACAATTGAAGAAGAAGAAAATGAATAAGAAAGAAAAAATGGGATTTCAAGAAGAAGAATTTTTAGAAGGCAAGAGAAAATTAATTTGTTCATATATTCAAGCGGGGTGCCTGTAATGTGTCCATCAACATAATATTCCTAAGCAATAATATGCTAAGACTGAAACTCTTTGGCATTGAATCGGAATATTCACGAAGAATTGGTTGTTCTATCTTGATACTGTCTTATAATTCTTCGAAACATTCTGTCTTTATCATCCTATGACTATGATTTACACTTGAAACAATCACGAAGCATTCGATTTATACAATTTGTAGACCTCGGACATAATCTCCAAAGCCTCTCGAGCTTTCCCAAGTACATTAAAGACTGTTGCCGCAATATGAGATGGTGTAAGCCCTGCTTCCACCAGTTGATCGGCCCGGGATCCATGGTCAATGTACCGATCTGCAAGAACCAGTGGCCTCCACTGCAGGAGTTGAAATTGGGAGAAATCAGTATTTAAGCCGATTCTATGTTATCCAAATAAATCCTCAAGAGTCGAGAACGGTAAAACATTCACTTTTGGAATGCAAGTACATAATTAGTCAAGTTCCTCAGAAGTTGCATAGGTCTAACTTTTCGCTTCATCAAATTTTCCGATGTTCTCTAATGAAATAGTAATGCTATTTGTCATCACTGATTACCACCGTCATGTTTACATGGCATTCAATTAGAGGTCTAATAACATGAATTCTATGTCGCTAAATTTAAGTGGACCTGTCATATAATATCGTCGTGTTGCCATATAGGGTAACAATGTTCATCGTGACGACAAATGGCATTATTCCTAATGTTAATAGTATAATTCAATTCATACCTTCAAATTTCCATCAAGAACTCCATCCAGGGCCATGAACTGAGCGACGTGAGATCCAAAACCGCCAATTGACCCTTCCTCCACGGTGATCAATATCTCATGTGATTTCGCCAAGCTGCGTACAAGAGCATGATCTAATGGCTTGCAGAAGCGTGCATCTGCAACAGTTAACCGTAAACCATGAGGTTCTACTAAGGCAGCAGCAGCCAAACAGCTTTGAACGGCTGATCCATACCCCAAAAGAGCCACTCTCTCTCCTTCAATCAATATCCGGCCCTTTCCAACCTGCGAGAATATTTTCAAAGAATTATTGTCGATTCTCTCTACATTTATCAAAATCTACCGTCATTTAAAAAGCAAATAGATGTTATAGATTAACATTAAACCGTAACTTCAAGATGATAAACACCAAAAAAAAGGTCAGATGAACGATACCTCGAGAGGAATGCCTTTGTTTCCTGGGGGCAGCTCTACGCCCTCCCCGTTTCCTCTTGGATAGCGGAAACAGCTTGGTCTATCATCAATAGCAGCCGCAGTTGCAACCATGTGAAATAGCTCGGCCTCATCAGAAGGAGCCATCACCACCATGTTTGGAAGGCATGCCATAAAAGTAACATCAAACGCCCCACAGTGTGTAGGACCGTCCGCTCCAACTAAGCTAGCTCTGTCCAAAGCAAACCTCACGGGTAGCTTCTGCAAATCCACATCATGTACTACCTGGATATGAGAGAAAGACTCCCCTGTTAGAAATTATGTAGGCTATGAAATAATGATCACTGAGAAAACAGAAATGTAAATTAGCTTGCCTGGTCATAAGCCCTTTGCATGAAGGATGAGTAGATTGCACAAAAAGGTTTAAGGCCTTCGCAGGCCAAACCCGCAGCAAAAGTTACGGCATGCTGTTCTGCTATACCGACATCAAAACACCTCGTTGGGAAGTGACGCGAGAAAAGGTTCAAACCCGTCCCACCTCCCATTGCTGCGTGGATTGCAACAATGTCCTCGTCAGCTTCCGCTTCTGCTATCAGAGCCTCTGCAAAGTAAGTTGTGTATGTCTGAGTCAGGGCATTGGATTTAAATTGTTTTCCAGTTGCTGGATCAAACTTAGTGACACCTGCAAATAGTAAAGAAGACAAACCATAAACTCTTAATTAATTTGAGAAATGAACTGCTGTGAGAAAAATAATGAAGATAAAACTCGTCTCAGTTATTCTGTTTTAAGAATGTCCCAAATTAAGTGTGTTTGCATAAACAACCTGATACGAGCATATGTACAACTAATGTTCTGACAACATTTTGCAACCAATACAGCAATACTTTACCATGGTACTTGTCTGCAGCTTTCTCAGCGTATGGATAACCTCTGCCTTTCTCGGTGACAACGTGGATTAACACTGGACCTGTTGTTTCAGTACTCTTAACTTCTTTAAGAATAGCAATTAGATCATCAATATTGTGGCCATCAACAGGACCAATGTAATAAAGTCCCAGCTCTTCAAATAATGCAGATCCAGAACCGCTGATCAAGCCACGAGCATATTCATCAACTTTTACTGCAAGATCATGCATGGGCCCACCTATCTGTTTAGTAACTCCCTGCAATAATTTAAATCAAAATTATTAAAGAATTTATAAAAGAAATCTTTTTCTTTTTCATCATACATTCTCATTCTCACTATATAACCTTGGCAACTTCTCTTAGTTCTCTAAGTGGCTCGTTGGACTGCAACCTACTCAGGGCACTACTTAAAGCTCCAACAGGAGGAATTGGGCCGTCTAGATTGGCAGTGGGTAACGAGACTTGTTTGTTGTCATTAAGAATAACAATCATGTCAGAGTCGAGGTATCCAGCATTGTTCATTGCTTCATAAGCCTGACCTGCTGTCATCGCACCATCACCTATTACAGCTACTACATTGTTGTTTCTTCCTTTTAGATCCCTTCCAACAGCCATTCCTGGGAGGCAAGAAATCTAATGGATCAAAAACCTAGAAGAAGAGACAATCTCCAGATTCTTTGATGCAATTAGCATCTCAAGAACAAGGTGTGAACGCTTTTACTGATGATAAAAAGATGTGTGAGTATGTGTGTGTGTGCTTATAAGTACAGAGAAATGATCTCGTAAGGACGTGCCTAGCGTGGCATGACATGCCAATTAATTGGTGGATCATTTCATTCTTGGGACCTACCATAAACTAATTCACTAATTAATTGGTTTGTCACGTTGCCGGTGCTTAGCTCCTATATATTTATATTTTGTCTTGTTCATATTAAAGCATGGATATAGATGATGCTACTTTCTTTAAATTGTGACAAATTAAATGGATTGCCATTAATGAAGTATCAATATCTCTGTCACCAAATGCACCATCTCCTAAGCACTATGCTAACACAGGTGCTTAGCATAGTGCTTAGTTCAGTAACACGGCACACTAATTAATTAGTATGCCACGTGTGTGTGTGTGTGTCTATACACACACACACACACACACAATATATTCTGCCTTGTTCATATTGAAGAATGCATCTAGGTGATGCTACTTTCTTTAGGCCCTGGTTGGAGGGATTAAGATCTTGATTTTATTCCAAGTCAAAATCAACAATTAATTTTAATCACACATTTCATAGGACACACAACATATCAACCACATTTTATCAACTTTTATCAAAATCTGCTGTATATCTGATTTTAATCCCTATCGAACATGGGCTTAAATTGATACAAATTAAACATGTCATGATTAACAAAGTATCAAGATCACAAAAATGCACCATTGATTTGTAGATACTGGAAGAAAATCCTGATCAAATTTCCTTGTTTGTCAAGTGTTAAAATAATAAACGCTTTTGGTCAAACAATTTTCTATTCACATAGTTCATGCAACCCATAAGCACTATCCACTTATCCACCACACATTTCTATCTATTTATAGTTTAAACTGATTATAAACAATTTCCGAACACGAATACTGTATAACAGTATGAAATCTAGTCTATGTATTGTTATTTTATTGTGGATTTCAATGTTCAGTTGGGAGGAATAAGAGATTACCTAGGCCTGCTGAGATAGTTGTCGAACTGTGGCCGGTACCAAAGCAATCATAATCACTCTCAGAGCGCTTAGTAAAACCAGACAGACCATTTGTCTGTCTCAATGTATGCATCTTGTCTCTTCTACCAGTCAAAATCTTATGTGGATATGACTGCGGCATACAGAAAAGAACTTATCACAATCTTGCACTAACTAATTTATTAAGCGAACTGTACAAAAATAAAATTATCACCTGGTGACCAACATCCCAAAGTATTCTATCTCGAGGAGCATTAAATACGTAATGAAGAGCCACGGTGAGCTCAATAACACCAAGGCTCGAGCCAAGATGACCTCCCGTCTTTGAAACGTTGAATATAACATCAGACCGTAACTCATCTGCAAGTTGTTTCAGTTCCTGAAACAAAGATTAGCATTAATTTCAGACGAATATATTAGAAAGATGCAGTCCAACATACATTAGTACAAGTGTCATATAAAACTGTTTGATATGGTTACTGAGGTTCATTTTTATACCTTAGTCGACAGATTTTTCATGTGAATAGGATAGTTGATAGTGTCCAAGAGAGGAGTAGGTGGCCTCTGTGAATGATACTCCCCTCTCTCGGATAAGGTTGCACAGACCTCAGCTGCCCTCTTCCTTACCTTCAATACCAAAATATTACAAAACCATTTCAGGCAAGTTTCTAGACTGACAGTCGAAATAAGTTCGTTCAAATGAACACCCAAAATCACACAGGATACAGAGAAATACACTCATAGATACACGTTTGAAAAAAGACACTCACATGGCAGGATCCTTGTCAAAAGATAGTCTTGAATCTGTAACATAATAAACAGACATGTGTACCTAATAGGAGAATAGGATCTTAACTTCTTTTTTCTTTCTTATACCATTCCATCGTTACTAAGCATACCACAGGTCCACAAATGAAAAATGAATGTGAGACAGAAAAGTCCATTACCCAGGAACAAAAACATGGGTTCTGTCGAAAGCCACTTATTTTAAGTTGTTAAACTCATGATTAAAATATTAAACAAATCAACTCATTATAGAAAGATTAAAAAAATTACAAACCTGCCTATTCTTGCAATAAACTTGACACTGCGGATCTGTTTCATGGAGCCAGTGAGACCATAAACTTGTGTGCCTTTAAGGTTCTGCACCCACTGCCATGCTCAAATTCCCGGGGAATGCAAATGCACAGAGAGCCATTAAAATAATATTTCTCTATATAACAACAAATAGCAACTAAATAAACTTCAAAAAAGGAAATCAAGATTATAGCTTCTTCACAAAAAGATCCCGAAATTTACACTGCTTCTATAAGGTCCTTGGATTTTCTAGAGGCTTTGAAATCTGGCTTTTGAAATTTCAACAAATAGGTGATAGATAAAATGCTAGAGGGTGTCTGTGTGAAATTGACATTTCAAAGTGTGAGAATTCAAGAATTCTTAGAGGCCCAAAGTTTGGCTGATTTTCTTAACTGGTTAGAGCCTTAGCAGTACAACGATAGGTGCTTTTTGCTAACATTTATAGTCGGGTTGAACAATGCAAGAGAATGACAATGGTGGAGTCATAATTTGATTGGGCAACGTTGCATGAATAATGTATTAATAATCCTATCTAGCATCATAGTGGCTACGCCATCAATTTAGATGACATTAAATAATAAAATCAGTGAAAGGTAAAGTCTCATTTAATGTCATATGAGTGTCATCTAGAGCGATGTGTTTAATATCAATAATACTAAATAGCATTACTTGTTGATATTGCGAAGACATGTGGTGTCAATTTTGTGTTGATGTGTTGCATGTTTCTGTGATCTATTAAGTGTAAATTCTGATGAAAGTAAGACATTTTCTTTTTGGATAAATTTGGTATTGCTTGTGTCTCCAATCTTTTAAAATCGTGTTATCAACGTTCTCAATTAATAGAAAATGTTAATTTGAATGTTAAATAATCACATGATATTCAAATGATGTCGATGAGTAGAAGTGATAGGTTTCATGAATTTTGAATAATGACTAATTTTAACAATATAATTATTTAAGGGAAAAACTCATTCCCTCTTCCACTCCATTGGATTAGCATAAACTAAAATTAAAATTGAGCCTCAAGAAAGGTAAAGGTAATAATTTTTTTCATTTTATCGATTATCGATAACTGTGGATCGTGAATTACACAATATTCTTTCATTATAACAATTAATTCAGTCGAAAAGAATTGTCAAAAAATCCCACTAAATGAACGCTGGATTAATCACACAGGCCAATGGTATCTAGCTAGAGTCTATCTGAATCACGGACCAGTGCTTATTTGGTGATCATATCCAATTATTTTAATTGTTTAATTTTACCGGGAAGTAGGGGCAACATGGATGGTTTAAAAAATTAATTATAATACAAATAATTAGAGTTGTACCACCATTTGAGAGCAACTGAAGTTCACTTTAGTCAGTGACGAGTTTGGCACAAATTATCTGATCATAAAATAATATTACATGTAACCGAAATACAGCGCACTTAATGGATGACCAGCAAGGCCAGATTCCGGGTCAGGTTGATGAGCCTTTTGTTGAAGTTGTTAGCAAGAAAACCCGGGCAGTTTCGGTGAAAACATCTGATCTTCTTGGCTCTTCTAAATCTGGTCCAGATTCATCATTTCATCCATTGCAGGCAGATTCTTGTAAACTTACAAATGAAAAGCTCAAAGGCAATGTCGAAGAGCAAAGAAAACCGGGTTTGAAAATTGACAAGAAGAAGGGGGCTTCCCTCACTTCTACATCATGAAGATTGCATTTTGGAATATTAGGGGTATGAATCCACCCCTTAAACAAAATGGGATTCGTGAATTTATCAAGCTTCATTGCATTGATATTATGGGCATTTTGGAAACAAAGTTGGGGGATCGTAAATTTATGAGAATTTTGAGGAATAAGTTCGATGGCTTCATGTATGTCCAACAACTTTGGAACTTATAGAGGTGGACGAATTTTGATTTTTTGGAATTCATCCAAAGTATTTTTGGATGTGATGGAAGTTCATTCACAAATCATTCATTGCAAAGCTACTTGCAAGATAACATCTTATACCTTTCTTGTTAGTTTTGTTTATGGATTTCATACTATGGTAAACCGAAAGCCTCTTTGGAATAACATTATGGAGTTCAATGCTAATCTTTCATCACCGTGGTTGATTATTGGTGACTACAATAATTTTCTTAAATTTGATGAGAAATGCAATGGGGTGAATGTTACCCCTTATGAAATCAAGGTATTTTACAAATTGTTGCCTTCATGTGGATCTAATGGATGTGCGATCTATTGGTTGTTATTATACGTGGACTAATGGTTCAATTTAGAGTAAAATTGATAGGGCAATAGTCAATGATATTTGGGTGCAAAATGGGACATATGTTGATGCTAATTTTTTACCCTCTGGTTATCTTTCCGACCATTACCCTTGTATTATTTCCGTTCATGATCGTGTTGGGGGAGGAAACAAACCTTTCAAGTTTTTCAATATGTGGACTTCCATGATATTATTCAAGCTTCTTGGAATTTTAATGTGCGGGGGACAAAGCAATTTATCCTTTGCAAGAAATTGAGCCAACTAAATGGTGCTTTGAATGAGCTTAATGATAAACATTTTGGGCACATTTCGACGAGGGCAAATGAGGCAAAAATTGAACTGGAGGCTGTCCAATTACAATTACATGATCAGCCCATAAATGTGAATTTTCAACTTTTGGTTGCCAAGTTGAGAAAGAAGGCCGTTGATTTATGTGAAGCGGAGCGGAGTTTTTATTATCAAAAGGCAAAATGCATCTTCCTTAAGGAAAGTAACAAATGTACAAAGTTTTTTCACTCGGTGGTCAAACGGAACTCTAGGAGGAATTTCATTGCTTCTATTCTTAAGGAGGATGGGATGTATACCACTTCACAAGATCAAGTTGCTTTGGAATTTGTGAACTTCTATACCAACTCGTTGGGAAAATATGAGGCCGTTCGACCGATTGACAACGTCATTATCCGCAATGGGCCTTTGGTATCTTTTGAACAAGGCAATGCTGAGGAGATTAAAGAAACTCTTTTTGGGATTGGAGATGATAAATCTCCTGGCCCGGATGGGTACACTTCATGTTTCTTCAAGAGTGCATGGGGGTGTATTGAACATGATTTTGAGGAGGCTATTTTGGAATTCTTTTCATCGGGATCCATCCTCAAGCAAATTAATCATGCGATCATTGTTTTGGTGCCTAAATCTACTCGTGCACCTAACGTTGGGGATTATAGACCGATATCTTATTGTAATGTGATCTATAAAGTGATCACCTATCTTAGGAGACATTGTGGACCAAGCACAAGCCGCTTTCATTGAAGGTAGGAGCATGACGGAAAATATTCATCTTGCTGAAGAGCTCATGAGACAATACAATAGGAAGAGGTTGCCCCAAGATGTCTCCTTAAAATTGATTTGAGGAAAGCTTATGACTCGGTTAGTTGGGACTTTCTCAAAAGTGTACTTGAAGGGTTGAATTTTCCTTCGAGATTTGTTCAATGGATTATGGAGTGTGTTACCACTCCTACATATTCCATTGCTTTGAATGGAAGTATGCATGGTTTCTTCAAAGGCGGGAAAGGTCTTCGGCAAGGTGACCCACTTTCCCCTTTCTTATTCGTGCTTTGTCTTGAATACTTTTCTAGAATGATCAAGGATGCTACAAATGATAGTGATTTTAATTATCACTCGAAATGTGGTCCCCTTAAGATAACCCATTTGGCTTTTGCGGATGACTTGATGCTTTTTGCAAGGTGTGATGCTATGTCCGTGGAAATTCTTATAAATTGCCTTGAAAAGTTTGGCTTAACATCAGGTTTGAAGATAAACACTTTGAAATCCAGCTTATACACAGCTGGGATTTATGGGTATGAGCTTGAAAGAATCATGGAAATCTCAAATTTTTCGAAGGGGACTATGCCTTTTCGCTACTTGGGCATTCTTGTTGCCTCGGAGAAGCTCAAAGTGAGCTCTTATGCTCCGTTCCTTGATAAAATTGCGGGTTATATTGGAGCTTGGAATTGTTCATCTTTATCTTATGCTGGCTAAATGGAACTCATTAGGGTGGTGCTTCAAGGAGTCGAATGTTTTTGGCTTTCTATCTTCCCCATCCCGGCTACAATTATATCAAGGATTGTTAGCCTCTGTCGAAAATTCCTTTGGGGATCTAAAAAGCCATTAGTTGCGTGGAATGATCTTTACCTTCCAAAAGAAGAAGGGAGCCTTGGATTAAAGGACTTGAAGAGCTGGAATTTAGCGTTAGTTCTTAAATCCCTTTGGAACATTCAACATAAAAAGGACACTCTTTGGATTCGGTGGGTTCATCAAGTATATCTTAATGGGACTTGCATTTGGGAGGTTCGTCCTAGGAAAGATTATTCTCCAATCTTCAAGAAACTGCTGGAAATCAGAGATATTTTTCGTGAAAATGGTGCTGCCCAACAGTTTTTAACTTATGGACAACATGGGGTGTCGGGTCAAATGGAGGCTGGAATTTCCCCTTCTCGGCATGCTGTTTCTGGCCGAAATTATATTGTTGGGAATGCACAGAACTGGGGGATAACTGGGCAGAATTTGGACAGAACTACAGGCGGGCAGATTCCTTCATTCGGTAGGTAGTTTCTGGAAATTTTCAACAGAAATCTGCGCTGTTCTACAAGTGATAAATTCAGCACAAAAATTGCCTATAATTTCTTTAGGCCTAAGGGCACTTTCAAGACTTGGGGAGCCGAAGTTTGGAAACCTTGCATCACATCGAAGCATTCTTTTATGCTTTGGTTAGGGGCCCAATCAAAGCTCCTAACTAAAGACAAACTGCTTTTTTGGATATTGATCGCAAGTGTGTTTTTCGTGGGCATTTTGTGGAAACTTGCGACCATCTTTTTTTTAAGTGTTCCTTCACATCTACCTTATGGAGGAATATTAGGCGATGGCTCGACATTACGAGATCTATGTCAACACTTGCTAGTGCTCTTAAGTGGTTGAAAAATGAGGCATGTGGGACTTCAAGGCTGCCTAAGTAAGTCGAAGAGGATTGCTCTTGCAAACACCGTATTCTACATTTGGCTTACAAGGAATAGGAAGATTTTCGAAGACCACTCACCCGACTTGGATTGCATTGTTAGACAGATCAAGACACATGTATACAAGGTT